TTTTCCCCCCCCCCCCCCCCCCCCCCCCTGTTTAGCCTCGGTGTGCCCCAGTCCCAACAAGCGTACCTCCGTCTCTCCTATCGTGAACCCCATTTTCATGTTACCAAAATCCCACACTATGGGTCCTAAAGTCCTTAACCACTGAGCTCCCAATACCGCATCACACCCCTCCAATTCAATCAAATAAAAATCAATTAAAAATTGAGAGTTATGTAAATTGAGGGTTACCTCTCGGTAAAGCCCTGGACTGCGCAGCCGTTCGCCATTAGCCACCACGACCCGCAAGGAAGAATTTTCCTCGACGTGGAGCCCCGCCATCCTCGCCACATGCCCACGCAAGAAATTGTGTGTTGATCCTGAATCAATGAGAACTGTGATAGGGACTTTTCCGATTTTGGCAGTGACTCGCATGGTTTGCGGGGTCGACACACCCGCTAGAGAATTTAGGAAGATTTCTGGTTTCTCCCTTGGATCCGCATCTATGTTCTCTTCGACCTTGGGTTCGTCCGGTTCTTCTTCTGTGATCTCAATCCAGAACAGCCGTTTGCAAGCATGATTGAACGTATAGTGCTCATTACAGTGGAAGCAAAGTCCCTGTTCTTTCCTCTTCTGGAGCTCCGCTGGAGTGAATCGCCTCACGGATACCTCTGGTTTGACATAGCCTCAGAATTCCGACTACTCAAGTTTGGGCTTCCTCTGGGCATTGGGTTGGGCTTGTAGTCATTAGCCCATTTCTTTCCCTCCTGGTGTTTGCCCTCATATATCCGGGCCAAGGAAATGGCAGAGGAAAGGGTAGTGGGGTTTTGGGCCCTCACATCAACCCGTAATGGCTCCTTGAGCCCGCTGATGAAACAGGCGGTCTCCTGCTTGTCTGTTAAGGCCCCAGCCTTGCCCAGCAACCGTTCAAACCGGCTCTGATATTTCCTCACCGCCGAGCTCTGTCGGAGTTTACACAGCTCCCTAAATCCATCTTTGTACGGTGCCGTTCCAAAACGCCGCATTATTTCGGCCTTGAACTCCTCCCAGCTCAGTCTCTCCTTGAGCGTCTTCTTCCTCTGAATCCAAATCTGAGCATCTCCCTCCAGGTGGTACGAAGCTATCCGCACCTGCTCAGCCGCCCCCGTGCCCTGGAATTCAAAGTACTGTTCTGCCCGGCACAACCAGATCGTGGGGTCCTCTTGTCCATCATACCGTGGAAAATCTAACCTCACTGGTTTGGCCTGAACGGCTCCCATCGGCATCTCCCCGTCGGTAGCCGGTCTGACCTCCCTCTGATTTGAAACGGAAGCCTCCTCCTGAGCGTGCATAACCTGGAAGAATTCGGACATCTGCTTCAACATTTTTTCTTGCCCCATGCTCAGAGAAACGACCTGTTGCTCAAGGCGCTAGAGTCGTTGGTCTTCGGCCATGGTTGGCTCTGATACCAAGTTGTTATCGACCCCCGCTTCCAAGGCTCCTCGGCCACGTCCTCGCCGGTTCCTAGCTATGGTGACAGAAGGAAATGGTGCAAGACAAATACAAGGATAAGGAAATCTCAAGAAAGGTTGTAATCATTCATTATTCTTCTCCACGATTCTTACAAGCCTAAATAGACCAGGGACTCTCCACAAGAGAAGGACCCTGATACGGTTATAACCGTTTCTAGGAAAACGAGAAGGAAAACAGAAAATATCACACACACAACCCTCCAACCATGATCCTGCATGAGGACAAAAGGAAATAATACAGCACACTACCCAAAAGACTAAACCACCCCTGATACTAAGAGGCCCTTAACACACTCTCTCTCTCTCTCTCTCTATATATATATGTGTGTGTGTGTGTGTGTGTGTGTGGTTTAACAGGTGATGTTTGATCTTGGATCTGTTTTTTGAATGAGTTCGGTGGTAGATGAACTTATGGCTAGCATTATTCAATAGATAAAACGCCAGAAATAAATAAATAAATAAAATAAAAGTTTTGGAAAAATGGATATTTTATGACATACTAGTCACTACCAATGGAAAAAAGACACTACAAGTGTTAGGACTAAAAAGTCGTTTCTGTCATTGATGACGCGTTTAATCATAATAGTGGTCACGTTCATAATAAGTACAGTCAATTTTGGACTTGTATTGTCTTTTTTTCTGGTTTAAAGACAATAAATATTGAATCCCACATTGTTAATTTTACATTAATTTTTCATTAGAATTTGTAAATGGGAATCTCAACCACAAATCTGTTTCCAACATTAGCCGACAGAAAAAAAAAAAAAAAGAAACAGCGAGAGAGAGAGAGTAAAATAAAATTATGGGCATATTCGGAAAGCAATAAAGCTAGCAGTAAAATATCAAAAAAAAAAAAAAAGTAAAAACAAAAAATTTCCTACCTTTGAAGTTTGAACATAGCATTAACAATATCATTCAAAACTCATGTGATTTCAGCATCATCTGTTAATTCTATAAAATAGTTTAAGCAGAAAATGAATCCCAGATATCAAAGAAAAGCAACCTATTAACAACTAAACAGACGTGTTAATGAACTCTCCAGTCCAAACCTACTACGAATGGTAATCCTTCTATCTATGTACATCATCTTTGCCGAAAAACCATACATGTTAGTGTTTCATTCTATGAAAAAATCGCGCCAAGGCCTACGAGGAGACAATGTCGACGTACTTGGTTATTCATCGGGTTCAAGCCAACCAGCCGAGTGCGTGCTCGAGTATTCTAAATTAGGACCAAGAGCAAAATCCATACCAGATGATCGAGCATATAATCTGCTCCGTGTGTACTCAAAATCATCTCTTGGAGAATGCTGCATTGTTGATGCTTCTATTGGATAAGAAGGCTCGGCTACTGATGGAGTCGGATTTCTGCAAGAATGCGAGTTCAATGTGAGTGATCCCATCTGGCTGTGTCCAGATTTCTGGCCTGCTACATAATTGCTTCCCGAGGAATGCAAATCTTGTGACCTGATATTAGATTCCTCTTTGTGCTTCTGTTTATTTCCATTAATATAGTCTCTATTGCCAAAGCGATTTCTTGCACTATAATGATCAGTTCCGTGCTCAGCACTATTCATGTAATGCCTTCCAAATTTGTCATCCGAAGTTCTAGCCCGTTTCTCCAGAAAGGTGGTTACCGACTCGGTAGGTGAAGCAGGCACGTAATTCCTGAAAGTGTGATGGCTACGTCCACCAAGCTCCGTGTGTGGAGGACTCATCCCTGATTTGCGCTCTGATGCGGTTTCATTCTTTGTTCTTCCATGCCTCTTTGTGTCATTCTGTTGTCGTTGTTCCGTTGGTGAAGCAGACATGCAATTCCGATAATGCTCATGACTATGTCCACCGAGCTCTGCATGTGAACGACTCCTCTGTGATTTGTGCTCTGTTGCGGACTCAACCTTTGATCTTCCATGTTTCTTTGTGTCATTCCATTGTTGTTCCATTGGTGAAGGAGACAGGCGATCCTGAAAGTTCTGATGAAAATTTCCACCACGCTCCACATGCGAAGGATGCATCTCCAATTTGCACTCTGTTGCTGTTTCTACCCTTGCTCTTCCATGCATCCTTTTGTCATTCTGCCATTCCCCACGTTTCTCCTTCGAGTCTTTCTTCGTATAATCAAGACTCCTGCGGCTCTCATGTCTCCCATGCTCATTAGCCTGCTTGTATTTGATATCATTATTAACACGACCGTGTGTTGGATAATTGACGATCAGATTTTCAGCATGACTCTTTTCCATCGGATCTTGTTGCATGGAAAAGTGACCATACTTTTGAGCTATAAAATCATGTTCGGCATAACAATCAGGATGGCTCCATAGATAGAGTACAGGTGGCTTCACATTTGCCTTTTCTATTTGTTTCTCATTTGAATCAACAGATCCCAGCAAATAAAACGACTGCAAGGAGATAAAGTCACCATGAGCATCTCATTCCATATACAATTAAAGTTCCAACAGAAGTAAAGGCCAAAAACATCTTTGTTTACCTCTCCTGATAGAATCCGGTGATCCTCCCAAATCAAATCATAAGGTGGTGTCTTTTCATCTAACCTGGAACATATGCCAGAAACCAGGAAGTAACTTACGCTCTCCAAGGAAAAAACTTTAATACAAAAGAAAAGCAAATACCTTAAAACAAGAGGTCAAATGCATGTCTTAATGAATGTTGTGTGTGTTTCGTACGTCAAAGAAACTACCTTTGTGCTTCGTCTCGTGGAAGCATAAGTAGAATGAGCTTTGGCTTAAATTCAAGAGCCTTATCAATGATCTCGTTTGCAACAGCTGCTTTGACACCAAATGGAAGATTTAGCCCCATTATCTGCTCATACAGTAGTTTGAAGTGAAAATGTCTGCCAAAAAAAGAATCCGAGGAATCTGAAAAAATTTTAATCTTATGAATAAATGTAAAAGCTTTAATATCTTACCAATTTTGAACCCGTTAGCAGCTCCTCTTGCTGGACAGTCATCCAATCTCTCTTTTCAGAACGGTCATCAATCTGCCAAAAAAGGGGACATAAAATTGATTTGACAAAAACCACTAAGAACGATAAACTGATAAAAGATGTTATGTCCAAGAAAATTTCAAGTGATAAAAATAGTACCTTAGCTTGAAGTAGATCATAGTTTTTGTAAAAGCATTTCTTTCCCCTCTCTTCAAGTTTTTTCTTCATTAGTAGATTGAAATCATTATCACCATAGCAGATATCCACTATCTGTTCATGGGAAAATTGATTATCAGGCAGTTAATAGTGATACTAAAAGAGTGACAATGGAAAGTAACGGCAACAATAAACTACAGAGTGAGCAAACTATTAAAGGATAACTTGTACAATCCACTACGACCATTCCAATTAGCACCACAGAGATTCAAGTTTTATTTTAGCAATTTCACTAGTGATTTCAAACAAAATACTAAACTGAAAGGCGATAGGGTCTAAAGAAAAATTATATTATCAAGTCGTCGGGGAATAAGAAAAGTTCCACAAAGATTATCATCTGACTGTCTGTGTGACTCAAAGCAACATCCAAAAGGAAACCCCATATTTAGAATAGCAAGTTAAAGGATCAGATACCCAAAAGGATGAAAATTCTCACCATATCACCTCCTTCTACATAGTCATGTAGCTTATTGACAATCTGCATAGCATTTGCAGCACTTCATTAAATTACATATATAGTTTAACAGAGAGATAGAGAGAAAGAGGGTTACCTTAATGGCTTTATTAGTAAGAGGGAAAGAATAGAAAGGAAAGAGATATTTAATCCAAATGAGAAAAACAGAGAAGGGGAAGACCTATCTCTTATTGTGTTTGTAAAGTTTCCCTCTTCTAATCCCTCCATATTGGGAGAGATTAAAATTGAGGATTTTTTATTTTTTTATTTATTTTTTTATTTTTTTAAGAATTTGAAATCCTTCAACTAATCCATTTCCTCCCTTTTTCCCCCTCCTACCAAATAACCATAGGACCTAAAATCCTTCCACTAATTCTCGCATCTGTATCACTCATTCACTTTTCCCTCCTACCAAACAAGCTCTGAAGATTACCTCCATTCAAACAATGAGTAGATTGGAATTTCACTGAAATAAAATACCACTGAAGTTTTAGTTTCAACTTCAAGAGTATCATCTTCTTTAAAAAAGAAAAGAAAAAGAAAGAAAAAAGAAAAAACTAACAACCTTCCAGTTAAATATCTGGCCAAGAATCTCTGGCTCACAAACAGCTTTTGCATCTTCAATGTTGCCTACTTCCTCCGGTATCTGTGAAGCAGGTCGAACCGCCTACAAATGTACAAAAGAAAGGGGTACAAATTCAAGGACTAAAGAATGATGCTATATTAACAACAAATTGAACTCAGAAAGTCGATAATATAGGTACCTCAACTGAAGACTGAACCTTTTCCATTGTAATAGTCTCGTTCACAACATCTTTCAAGGATGTATGAGTAGATGGAACTTTGAACTTTTTTCTAATATCTTCCAGATTTATAGATGATTCAACATCGTCTACTAAATCCAACAATCTAAATTGAAAATACAATTAACCCAGATTAATACATTACGCATAACAAGGTTCGAAAACACAGATAATACTCAGAAACAAAGTGTAGATACCTCCTGTCTGTATCAGAATCCAATTGAGAAGTTGAACGACACAATTTTTTGGTCACAGGCTTATCTTCTGCAGACTTATTTGTTTCTTGTTTCCTTCGCTTCTGCAAGGACTTATTTTCTTTAACCGTGGGAGACTTGGATTTCTTTTTGGATGCATAATTTACATGAACTTTCATAGGGACATTTGTCGCAGATCGGAGCTTTCCATTATCTTTGTTTCCACCTAAATTTGCAGAAGTATTCTCCTTTCGTTTCAATGTTTCGCAAGCAGCAGTTCCATGATTGCATTCTACAGAGGTTGGAATTCTCGTGTTTGACTCAGTTTTCCTACTGTCTCCTGGTGGCTTCGAGGATGTATGTTCAACACTACTCTTGCTCTTTTTAGTAGCACTCTTCTTCTCTTCAACATCCGGAAATATTATGTGGCCCCTGGCTGGAGTTTCAATTCTTTCATCCATCTTGTGCTCTCTAAAGAGGAAAATAGGCAAAACTGCTTAGTTAGTCGTTTCCAATAAAATCAGGAAAAAGAGAATTTCACATGGATACTTACAAGCAATATATTAGAATCCGATTGGGTAATAGGTCTTTCCAAGCCCTTTGTACTATACCCTCCTTTTTATTTCCTTCAAAAGCGATCTTCCTGAGACCAGCAAGTCAAATAAAACATCTAAAGATTATTCACGGAGGATATTAACAAAAAATAACTGTATATGAGAAAAGGAAAACAATAGAAAAACCATGGTGCAACATACCTTGGCAAGCACTTTCTATGGTAAGATTTAGGACATCGCCTGCACACAGCAAACTGCAAATCAGGATCTCTTTTATTCTCTCCTTGTTTGCAAATGTAGCACTTATGAATTGGACACGTGAAAGATCTCCCCTCAGCAATCTTTTTCTCTATTTCTTCCGCAGAATCATTATTATCTTGATGAAGCAAGCTCGATAAGCAATGTGGATGGTAAAATTGGCCACATGTTATAGAGGCGCAGCAAAAGACCTAAACATAATGAATAAGTGCAAGAGCAATGACACTGTTATATCCCGATCCAAACAAACAAAAGCATGCCCTTTTGTATACTACGTTTTCTTTACCGTTCTAGTAAATAATACAAGGAGAAAAACATTATTATCTCTATCCTACTTTAAAACCTTCTAAATTCCCCCAATGCCACCCCAAACCCCGGAAAAACAAAGTTCATACCTGAGCACCTGAAGATGTATCAGAGGACCCCAATTCCCCACAAATAAAGCATTGGTGTTGTTTATATTCGCAGTTCTTGCAGAGAAAATTTGGAATCGCCTACCAAGTTTTACAGGGG